CGCTTCATTTGCGTCCAAGGCAATTATTACATGGGACACAAATGTGAGACAATTCCGTGCAATGATAAAATTGTTGTACCTCAAAACAAAGTAGCATTGAAATTATTCGAAATTGATTGTTGGTTAGCACAATTTTGAACCCTCAAATTAACAAGTTTTTATTAAAAGTAAACAGTATATTTTTGTTCTTCAGAATTAATGTGCGTAATTTGCACATAGGTATAGGTATGTAATTAAGGTTGGTCTTTCCGTCAGAATGTTTGCAATTTTTTTGCTACATTTCGTACAACAATCAAATTTATTTATAGATAGTATGTCTCAGACCTAGGAGTAATAAACCACCCGGCCTACGAAAGAGTATAATTATTTTTACATAGAAGTAGCGCCGTAGCGGATAACAAATATTTTCCACCAAACATATAGGTATTTGAAGTGAGAAATTAAAAATGTGCAGCAGCAATGTATGGGGATGGTACCTACTTCGGCAATACATGCTGGGGATGTGAGCAGTCATAGGCGTGCGCTGGTATATTTTCGTTATTTCTTATAATTACTGCGATTGACGATATATTGTATACTAGTCTAGTCAATCTATTCTGTCCCCCTAGAAACCTTCATATAAAATTTCTGTCAATCAAAAAATAACTGAGTAGAAGTAGATATTCTGCTGATTAGCGTTGGGCAAAAAAATCGATTAATCGATTATAATCAAACGATAATCGATAATCGGATTTGATTATCCTATTAAATTAATCGATTAATCGATTATTTGATTAATCGATTATTTGATTAATCTATTATTTGATTAATCGATTATTTGATTAATCGATTATTTGATTAATCGGTTATTTGATTAATCGATTGTTTGATTAATCGATTATTTGATTAATCGGTTATTTGATTAATCGATTGTTTGATTAATCAATTATTAAGTAAATTTTAATTGATTATTATTAGCTGGATCATCAGTTTACGCAAAAAGGAGCACTCACAGCTCACAAGTATTATTTTATTTTATAGCGGATGTTAAAACGTCACTTTAAGCAGCTAAAATGAATTAAGATTGTATCATCAAAACTAAAGCACACCTCATCGGAGAGTAAGCTGCCTAATCATTTATTTTTATTTATTTATTTTTATTTTTGACCTTCATTTTCAAATGGACAGGGTTTCAGCCAAGGCTGTTCTACCAACCAACCCACTATGCATTTGCAAATATCCATGCCCGAACCCGGATTCGAACCAGGGACACTTTGTTGATTATTGATTAATCGATCTGCCTAGTAATGAACGATTTGATGAAAAGAGTAATGGAATTATTTTTTATTTTTATTATTAAATAATTAACGTATTAATGCATACAAACAGATATTTATCACTCCTTGTACGTGACAATCGACTTTTGATTAAACGATTAGGTGATTAATCGATTATTTGATTAATCGATGATTTGATTAATCGATGATTTGATTAATCGATTATTTGATTAATCGATTATTTGATTAAACGATTATTTGATTAATCGATTATTTGATTAATCGATTATTTGATTAATCGATTAATCAGTGTAATCGATTATTTTTCATAATCGATTATCGATTATTCAAACCCGTAATCGCCCAGCCCTACTGCTGATTAACATACCAAAAAATGGATCTCCGAAAATGACCGCTAATATTGTAAATTTATTAAAAACGATTGAAAATTCACAACACAATGCTTCGAACACTGATAGTTGCACTTTAGCTCGAGGTAAAAATACCATTTTGTAGAGAAATTAATTGTCTTTAAATTTGATGTGGGAATTTATGTCATACAATCCCTTTTTTTATGTTAAAAATTCTGGAAACTTTCCAACCCCGATTACACCAAAGCGTCAGGGTCGACCCAGTCTAACCGTGAAAAAATTACTGACAAGCTGAAATTTGGTAAATAAGTTGATTTTGGAGTCCTTAAAATACCACCAAACCCCATAAGTGATCCGCCGTGTCTGTCACCTCCAAACTACCTTTGAAAGGGATTTTTTTAAGTTTTTTGTCAATATCTTGAAAACAACGCTATTTGCAAAAGAATGTGAAGATAGACAAATGAAAGCGTAGGTTTGGTGCTGTACCAGTGGCGAAGTTGTAATGTTAATTTTATTTTAAAAAATAAATCTAATTTTTTATTTTTTTTTGTTAAATCTAGAGAAATTTCTCAAAAATATTTAGGTAAGAACATTCATTTCGTGCCTATTCTAATGAAATAAAAAATCATAACAGTGGCAGTACTAATTTTTTATGTCATCCCTTTTTTAATGCATTAAAACGATAATATATTGTAATATATTGTAGTCAGTAGGTATCTATGCAGTGCAGTAGGGTAACTTATTATGAGGTAGTGTAACTAAAATACGATCCGTTTAGGCAAATGAATACTTAACATAGCATAAGTTTTTAATTATTTCTATACCTATATTAATTCGTCAGACTCTATAACTGTCTACAATTCTACAAGCTAGGGTACACTTTAGACCAATTTTTCGCCACGAGCAAGCTTTTTTGCAACCGCCTGACGAACAGTTGCAAAAAATTTGCTTTAGAACCCTTTCGAGGTCCATGTATGTCTTGATCCACTCCTGCATTGGTAAGTTATTATTCAGCCATGTTTGAAACTAAAAAGGAAAATCATCCGGGTCAGTATTACATTCCAGCTTTGAGGCCTTTGTAAAGAAGGTATAATGAAACTAGAGGAATTGAAGCGATAGAGTCAAATAAGAATAAACTTGTAACAAATATAGCAAACGAGCTCCTGGATCACTGAACATCTTTTCCTTGGGTGATGATAAACGAAATACTGAAAACAGAATTGGAAAATTCGAAACCGTTCGGGAGTTATCTTGTCCACATACGGACGGACGGACGGACAAAAAGACCAAAATTCTGAACTCGCTAGGAGCTTCTTAATAATATAATTAATCTTTTCAAAGAAAATACTTGTTAAAAAGTCCTAAAAACGCATGGTTATTGGTACTGAGCTGCCTTCAGAGCTGGTGGAAGCTATGCTAAAATAAAATCCTTATTTAAATTTTGCTGTACTACATATTGCTGGTAGAGAACGTCAAGGTCCTTAATCTGTCATTTGTTATATTTCTTCCTTGTCTACAGTAGGTATATCTAGACAAAATAATATTTCCTATTTGTTGAAAAGCCCAGATGTGGTATCGCATTCAGAAATGGCGTGCATGGCAAAAATAACATTTTTAGAGGTCCTAATTTATGTTGACATTTTTAAATATCCATGACTTTATTTGGTTTTCAATTTCCTGGCCGCAACATATATAAATTTTGTTTGGCATAGTGACTTAATGAACTAAATATTTTTGAAAAATTTGTCTTTATTTCAATCAGAAATTAAAACATTAGTCTTTTTAAAAATAACCAAAATTAATATCATAACTCCGCCACTGGTACAGGAAAATATACAGGGTCATTCTTGACGAGCGTCAGTTAGAAAGATATGGAAAACCTTTGAAAATGAAGATAAACTAATAAGTTCTTTAAGGGTTTTGGCACATGATGAATTGAACTAAAATATTTTTAAGATGGCGCCACTTCCGGAAATACCGGAAGTAGCCATCAACTTTGATATTTTAAATAGGGACCCTCTATTTTTTCTACATTTTCGGATTCTACGTCGAATTTGGAGTACAACGATACCCCATAGTTAACCCTTTGCTCCAAGGGCTTCGCCGATATTCAACTTTTTATGTAAAAAATTGAATTTGCAGGGGTAACTTTAAAAATTTATTATTCGAAAACGGTGAGAGATATTGCAACACCGTTTGCACTGATTTTTTAAAGAAAGATCGAATTTTCTTATGGTATGCGTAACAGTCTAAGAAAGTGAGACTACGTCACTTTTTCAAAGCTCTCAACTTTTAAACTTTTAAATACCCACTCCACAAATACTCCATTTTTTCAAATGACACCCCCCATTTTGTTCTTCACCCTTGTTTTCCTTTTTCCCAGACCTTTAATTTGATACAAAATGTCAAAAGCTCCTTCAAACGGTTTCCGAGATATTCCATGTTTTAGTTACTTCTTGTGGCAAATTGATAAAAAAAATTAAGTCGCTTGTTGTTATTCTTTTGTTTTTATTATGATAATGTTTTCCATATCTTTCTAACTGACGCTCGTCAAGAATGACCCTGTATAGGTATAGGTTTTATAGGAAAATATATATATGCTTAAATTTTTCTATCTTCATATTTTTCCCTAAATAGCTTTGATTTCAAGATACGTATTCCCAAAAAACAACAATAGGCATTTTCAACCCTTTGAGGGTTTTTTAAGGGTTAGGTGGGGGTAGGGTTTGGTGGTATCTTATGGAACTCAAAACATGCGTTTACCCTGATCGAGTTTCAAAGGTGATCTTTCGTACCCGCTTACGCTTTCCAATAAATCAATTCATGACGAGAATTTTATTGCAGTTCTACAGCAGAGCCTCGGAGGGAATCAAACTACTAACTCGATATCTAGTAATAACCCAGGCGTTAGTGGTGCGGGAACCACAAATTGTTCTTTTACAATAAATGTTAATGTTCCAAATAAATAATTATGGTCAAATTTATGTTGGAGTTTTTAATGAATTGTTTGAAGATGTCAAATTTGGTGTAAGTATAAATAACAGTCCGGTAAGTGTTGCTTAGCGACACTCACGGACGTAAATTGATAGTAATCGACCATCTACGGGTCAGTATGAAATAAAAAAAATAAATCGAGTAAGTACCTACATATGTGATATGTGTAAATAAATTCCTTATTCAATTGTCTATTCATGTTACATTGAAATGAAATGACTGAACTGAACGGAGTAGGTACTATACGCGTGTAGGGTAGGGATAGCACGTTATACTTTATCATTTTTAAGCTCCACCTTTACTGGCAGTTTCGAATACTTCGTCTCCTACCGCTGCGTCCCTTAGAAAGTACTGGAGCAGCTCCCGATTACTCTTAAGGTAAGTTCGCTTGATCACTAATTATATATCAGTGTCCAATCCTCAATATCACTTAGATTATACACCATGTAGTTGTTTAGAGATCTGGATTAATTCGGCCCGTGCAAGCTGAGACAACTCTGTTGTCTTATAAAGTAACCTTTAATAACCGAATATCCTAACTAAACAGTGTAAACTGGTTGTGTATACAACCGAAACTATTCACCGAAATGAAATATGATAGTTTTCTTGTACTAGCTGCCCGGTGATGATAGGGTATTTGAGAGAGAAAGCCCATGCCTATAAGCCGCAGAAGTGGATGCGTGACGGAACGAATGCGGCTTGAAACCATTTGTATCCAATCCAGCCGTAAGCAATGTGTTTTTAATCCAGCGACTGATGGATTGTTTGGTAGCGGTTTTATAAGGCTCTTTAAAAGTAATAAACAGGTAGTCCTGATTCGGAGTCTGAAGGGGTTTTGTGGCCTCTATGTAGTCAATCAAAGTAGTAGCTACACAGAGTAAGGGATTTTCAGCAAATCTTGGTATTTGCAGACAAGGCTGAGATCGATTGGAACCCGACGTTTTAACGGGGCCAGTGATAGGAATCTGTATGCCCTGTGCAGAGGTATGTATGTTTGATAATTTGATTAACTGGATTGTCTGAAGGCGATGGCCTGTGGCCAGAGCTAACAAAGTAACTAGGTTGGCTGACAAATCCTTCAGGGTTAAAGTAAAATTAGGTCCGAGTTTCTGAAGGTACTCAAGCACAACGTTAGGGTCCCAGGTGCTATTATAACGCGGTTTCGAAGATCTTAATCTAGAGATTCCTTTCATAAAGCGCGAAAGACGCGCATCGTTTGACAGCGGTTGCAAATTAATAAGCGCCAACGCGGAGCGATGGGAATTCATGCTACCGTACTGGAGATTGTTTCCCTCGAACACCCGCTGTAAAAATTCTATTATGGAGGGTGCTTGATAAGGAGAGAGAGATCGTTCGCTGCAGAAGTTCCACCACTGTCGATAAGTTGTTTCATACTGTCGCATGGTCGAGGCGGAGATGGATTCTACCATGGTGTCGATGGCACAGTCCGGGACTTCTTTCTTGCGAAAAGCTTCGCAGATAAGTGCGCGGCCACCAGGGTAAGTGTGCTTGACAGCGGATGTTGGTGACTAAAAATAGAAGATAACGTATAAGTTTTTGGAGGAAAAACTTCTGCCTTTTTGGTTAACTCTTGGAACAACGGGTACCAAGGTTACCCTGGCCAAAGAGGTACGACTAAAATACCCTTCAGCTCGATCCTGGATAAGTTTTTGTAGATCTCGTAAAATAAGAGAAAACGGCGGAAACGCGTAAAAAAACTTGTTGGTCCACCTTACGGTAAAGGCATCGACTGCCCACGCTCCAGGATCTGGTCTCCAAGAGACTTACTTTTCACATTTGAAATTGTGGTGGGACGCGAAAAGATCTATCGAAGGCTTTCCTAGAGAATGGCTAATTATATCGAAAGTGGTTTCGTCAAGCGACCATTCGGTATCAGTTGGGAGGACGCGAGAGGCTCTATCAGCCCTCCAATTATTTTGGGAGCTCATGTGTGACGCGAACAACCAAATATGGCGGTGTTCGCACCATTGCCAAATGTCGCGTAATAAGCGGCTAAGAGCAGGATATTGAATGCCCCCAATTTTGTTGATGTACCCGAGAGCTGTGGTGTTATCAGTCCGAATTAGTACATTAACCCTTGTCGAATCCTATACAAAAGATTGTAGGCCATAAAAAATAGCGAGAAGTTCGAGGATGTTGATGTGGTACGTTTTTTCCTTTGGGGACCACCAGCCGTGAGTGTTTGTGTATTACAACAGGCGCCCCACCCAGTCAATGAAGCGTCTGTATATAACTCCACATCAAAAGCATCTTGGGGAAGATCGTTAGAGGCATCTAAACAGTTTGGCTCCACCAGCGTATGTCCTTAAACGCAGTTGATGTCAAAGTGACAAGCGCGTTGTAATTTTCGTGACTGGCAAGAAGTGCTAGATATTGTTCTCTAGCTAATAATTTTGTATAGAGCCAACCGTACTTTGTAGCGGGCCATACCGCAACAAGCGAACCAATGAGAGTTGCTAACGCGCGAATGGAACAACTAGAATTCTTTATTCGATTGTCAATTAAAAGTTTTAAGTGGCTAGCTTTCTCATAGGGGAGTTCAAGCTGCATTGTTGAACTGTTAAATATAAATCCCAGAAACTGTTGCCTCTGGCTAGGTACTAGCGAACTTTTATCGTAGTTTATGAGGAACCCTAAAGTGGTAAGAACGTTTAGGGTATACGCGACGTTTTGTGTGCAATCCTCTTTGGTCTTACCAAAGATTAAAAAATCGTCTAGATAGTTCACGCAGGAGATGCCCTGTTGTCGTAGATGTGAGACTACAGGTTTCAAAAGCTTGGTAAAACAATAAGGCGCGGAACACAGACCAAACGGAAGACAAGTGAACTCAAACAGATTATCCTCAAAAGCGAAACGCAAATAACCCCGTGGTGAGGGGCTACCGGTACTAAAAAAAAATAGGCGTCTTTCAGGTCGATTGAGGTCATGAACGCGTTCCTATGTAACAACCGCGACGCCGTACGATAGTCTTCCATTTTGAAATGAGAAGTAGAGACAAACTCGTTAAGTGCTTTTAGATTTAAAATAAATCTTTGTGTACCATTTGGTTTAGTTCGCAAAAAGATACTAGAGATAAACTGGTTTTTCCAAGGAGTGCAGGGTTGTATAGCCCCTAGAGCTAGTAAGTCTTTGATTGCGGACTGTGTGTGTAACCTCTCTAATTTAGATAAGGTTTTGTAGACCGGTCGCTGTTGCGACGGTTTTGACGAAAACGGAAAGCAATATCCTTTTATCCAAGACAGAGGCTGAGAGTAAGTCGTAATTTTGGTCCAGGTGTGGTAAAAAATTTTAAGCGACCAGCGGGCAGCAATGTACGTACCTCTACTGTCGACGTTTGTAATGGTAACGTGTTTTTGAGGGCTGGCCCTTCTCTGGCTGAGCTCTGCCCGTTGAGCGAGCCGGGCGGTTGCGGTTTAACGGCCCGCTATTAAGGCCGGCTAAGGTTAGCGCTCTCTCCTCCCTTTTCCCCCCTGCCTAGCTTTGGAAAAGTCCGTCTGGACGAAACAGTGGAGGAGTGTGATACCGGCGGGGCCTTTAAGTCCTTCCCAGCTTTAGCCACTAATTTTGCAGCTTTTATTTGCTCTCCTAACTCGTTTCCAAAGAGAAACTGAAGCGGAGTAGATTTCTCGACTATAACCTTCACTGATTTGCTTAGAGAAGGATAAATGAGAGTACGCCGGAGTGACATTTGATGGAGAAGGTCTAAATGTATGCGACTTGCATCACTCAATCCTGCCAATAAGCGAGCTGTCAGATCTTGGGAAATAATTTCTTTACTCTCAAGAATTAAATGAACAGCCGAGGCTAAGGCCGAGCTACCGTGACTTAGTTGTGTCTGCAGTTGCAAGTATGCATTGTCACGTTTTAGGTTAGGTCCCGACAAAATAGAACAAATCTCCGGATTAAGAATTGGTGGGGTCAAAGCGACGCAATTCGATGGCAACTGATAAGAGTCGCGCTCCGAAGAAAACAGGCCATTAGCAATCACATGACTCCAACGGGAGTTTAAAGCTTCGTGAAGGTTGAATGGCGCCGGGGTGTTTTGTCGGGGATCCTCTCCTAAGACCTGCAAAAAACCTCCGGCAAATCGTCTTCATTATGAATTTGTAAACAGGAGACTCCCTGTCGTCAAAATCGGGAGGATCTGGAGCCCCCTCGCTGGAGGTTAGAGTCGCAGCTGGCGCCATTTTGCGCGGAAAATGATCAACCAGTCGTTCAGCGCTTGTCGAATCGTGCAAGAAACGATCTGCGCTATGTCTCGGTGACTCCGCGCCGGTCGGGCTGCGATAATCACGAGCACGGCATTACCGTTGTGTTGCCGAAGGTTTTGGGTCTTCTATAACGCCGGCGGCGAAGGGAGCTGCGAGAACAAGAACGGCGCGGCGTTTACTTCGAAAACGTGACGATCACGATGGCGGCGTTTGACCTTGCGAAGCTTACGTTCCAACTTACATAAACGTTTTGCCAAATCTTGTTTTGAAATATTAGCCTCCGAGTCGCTAGAAATGTCCTCTGAGGGACTCATAACTAAAACCCTAAAAACCTAAGGGCAAAAGGAATTAGAAGTTAAAACTTACACTTAAAAACATAAGAAGTGAGGAGCTAACACGATGTGTACGCAACGAGCACTAAAAGGTGAAATGAGCGTAGAGGGGCGTGGGTCGAGTAAGATAGACGCGGGTAGCGGGAAATTCAAATATTATTCTTTAAACCTAGTGCGCAACAGTACTACATGGGTGTACTACATGGTGTATAATCTAAGTGATATTGAGGATTGGACACTGATATATAATAGACGGTCAAACGTATGCCCATGAAGGTTTCTGATGTACTAAACGTGCTTTTGTGGCGATGCCTACTAAAGATATTCTTCAATTATACTAAACTGTATCAAGTTCATTAAACTGAGTGTATAATATGCAAATCATGATTTCAGAAATTATGTCCACTCACAAGTAAAAAACACCGAAATCGAGCCTATTGTAATGAAGAAAAAAAATCCATGTGAATTATTCCGTAATTTCAACAATCAACCAGCCAATTGCAAGGGTTCATTTATTGTTGGTAATTTTACATAAAAAGTGAATAAAAGATTTGTTTAGTTGCAGAAAGAGGTGGCCATTTCAATTTAAATTCACTGTAAAGGTTTATAACCAACTGTACGATTTGTCAAAAATTCAACAAGTGCATTTGGAAATTAAATTACTTTCAATATAGAGATGGTTACTTAGTGTTGTTCTTTTGCTAGCGAGTGGAAGAGCTTTTTTTTAGAAATTTTGTCGCCAATTTTCAGAGTGGAATAGGAAGAAATCTCCAGTAAACAAAACCATAAACAAGTTAAAAAGTAATCGTAAACGATTTACATAAAGCGCATTTCCACTTGCATTCATTTCCCATTTGTAAGTGCAACTTCTGTTAAAATCGTAAAAATCCGGCCACAAATATGAAAGATAGCGTTGCACATGGGCAATCCATTGTTTACGTGCTACTTCAATTTCAGTTTATGAGAAGAATTTCATTTCAATGCTTTTCTAAATAAGAAAGTTGGAACTGCGCATGCGCAAACCTAAATTTTAAAACTAATGTTAGATTTTCCTTTGTTCCAAGCGCCTAAGTATCAAATTTCACTTAAATAGTTCCATAGATAAAAAAGTTGGCACGGCGCATGCGCAAAATAAAATTTTGAAACTGGCGCTAGATTTTCCTTTATTCCAAGTGCCTATGTATCACATTTCATTTAAATTCTTCCATAAATAAAAAAGTTGGCACTGCGCATGCGCAAAACCAAATTTTGAAATTGGCGTTTGATTTTCCTTTATCCCAAGTGCCTATGTATCAAATTTCGTTTAAATTCTTCCATAAATAAAAAAGTTGGCACTGCGCATGCGCAAAACCAAATTTTGAAATTGGCGTTTGATTTTCCTTTATTCCAAGTGCCTATGTATCAAATTTCGTTTAAATTCTTCCATAAATAAAAAAGTTGGCACTGCGCATGCGCAAAACCAAATTTTGAAATTGGGGTTTGATTTTCCTTTATTCCAAGTGCCTATGTATCAAATTTCATTCAAATACTTTTGTAAGTAAAAAAGTTTGCAATTCGGTTTATAAATGGTCGAGATGCGAAAAGGGCACTGTGAATTTTGAATCGATTCGATTCAACTTTTGGCATTGCGTATTATATGGCTAAATCTATGCCCATATTGAATTTCATGCAATTCAGTTCATAACTAACGGAGATGTAAAAGCGATCGAACATTTCTAAACAAAGTTATCGTTCACACGGACAGATAGATGGACAGACAGACAAAGGAACAGACGGAGAGACCAACCGGCAGGCGACAGATAGCAATGCAAAATTATAAACGATCTCTAGGATCGTTAATAAACGGCAAAAGTGTAAAATTATGGAACATGTAAAAAACGGTTTTTTGTTTTTTTTACAATAACTTTTTTTGTAAGCGGTACAGAAAAAATTCCTTCCTTGGTACAAGACTCGACACCATAACGAACCAAATAGCGAAAAAGTAGAACAATAGCTCTTAAGATAAAAAACTAGTAGCGTCGCAAAGTTAGCGGACGGACGGACGGACGGACGGACGGACAAAGTGGCCACAATAGCGCATTTTTTTTTATTTTTGTGGAAATGCGCTAAAAAGGTAAAATTTGATTTTTGTATAGAAATCACAGTTTGAGTTCTAAATTTCAAAACTTTGTTAATCGAAGAGAAGCTCGATGGGAAGTTTCAACCCTTTATTGCAACAAAGACAGTTGCAAACTGTAATACAGTTCAGTTCTCGATAATCGACCATTAGGTAAGTTCCGGCTGAGGTTCCGTTTTTCTTGTTCACATGCAAAATAATAGTCATCTCGTCTGGTATCCGTAAGAGAAAGTGGATTTCGTCACGAGTTTGCCACTTTTCAATAGGTTTTAAACAGTTGAAAATCTACCGCATTGGCTTGAGTGTAACCAAAATTCAAATAAATGCGAGAATAAATGCTAGAAGTAGTCAAATTTTCTTTCGTTAGAATAATTCGATAACAGAAACGTAAATAATATTAATAGGATACTGCACAGTAATATAACGGAATTTCCTCACTCTGATGTAGGTACGTTAACATTCACATCAGGTATTACCTAATATGTGAAAAAATCCAAATTATGCACAAGCGTAAGCAGTATATCAGTAAGTATTCCATATGGTATCTCTTAATCGTAAAAAAATAACATGAATTATTTCCACTGAAAGATATCATTTTTATTTCAAAAAATTCTCATGAAGTAGATCTAACCATACCTTTCACTCAACGATCTAACGACTATCAACATGCTCAAGAAGTAAATTATAATATAATCTCTAATTGTATAAGTAATAGACTATCTAATTGTTTCTGCATGATAAAAAGTGTCTGTTGAATGTTGATTAATCAAGCAATCGAGATTACAATGTCCGTTGTACATTGTTTTTTTTTCTCAGCATAGAATTACTGTGCTCCGACTTATGCTCGTTAGTATGTAAACTGTCCGAGGGGTATTTCACTGAGACGTACTGTCCAAATTGATAGTACTTGATGTACCCTCCCTGCCCTGTCAGTAATTCTGTGTACTGCCGTGTACTACTAGGTAAGACCTGTCGATGTACTGCGACCTGCGTTGCACCATTGTGTAATTATTCACTCAACGGTTGTACTACCCGGTTCTGCATGTGTACTGCCATCGAGAGGTACAGCGGTGCACGGAGCCCTTGGATTTAAAATATTATTCATAAGTAAGTATTAAGACTACCAGATTAACTTTATTTGAATATGTAAAACGCCCTACATACAGTATGTCCAATTTGTCGAACGACGTTGTCTGTAGGGCGTTTGAGTAATGTAAGTAAAACCAGCAAGGCATATGTCATACATGTAACATGAGTCTAGGACACACACTCGGTCAAAAGCCCCTATCCATGAACCCCCGTGTGACAATAGCCCCTGGACAGTAAATCCCCTGGGTTTAAAAAAATATACCCCGAAAAATGTGATACCTATGCCCTCCAGAAAAATTGAAAATTAACCTAAACCTTCAAATAACCTAATAATTATCCTACTGGGTGTTCAGTTTCTTGGAATTTATTTTCAGAATTTTTCTAGTTTGCATTAGAAAAGAATCCACATGACAGTGTAAATCATCGAACTGTAGAAAATGGTATAGGGGAGTTATTATCTCCCGGGGGTTTTTGTCGGGAGGTTATTGTCTTTCGGGGGTTTTTATCCACTGGGATTTTGGTCGGGGACTATTGCCCTGTACCGGTAATACATGTAACGGGCGATCAAAATTGAGTTGCTGTCGAGTCGCCTTTGGAAGTTCAAATTAAGTACGATTTCTCATGTAAACAAAAATTCGAAAGGTGACTCAATAGCAACACATTTTTGATCGCATAGTATATTTAATGCACATATACATACTTATAGTGTTTCCCAAAAGTTCTAGGACGGAGCTACAGTTTCAAACGGGTGAAGAAAAAATCTGATAATGTCTGGACGAGTGTCTCGATCAATAAAGGATCATAAAAAACCTCGTAAAAAACTATATTTTAGATGGTTGAAAACTCTCATACATTGGGGAGTTTTTTGGGGGTAATAACTCCAAAGTTTTTAAATTACGACCCCTGTCGAGTTTCCCATTATAAAAGTAATTAAAAAAAAAACATTTATTTTTTCTTCATCAACTTAATAAAGACACATTTAAAAAAGTTGAGCTATTCGTGCCCAACTGGAGTGTGTTCGCCACTTGGCTTTCCTGTTAGCAATAATGCAACGTGTGTTATTGTTTCAAGATACCTATTGAGTAAGTAAAGAAATGGGAATGAAACACGCAAATGAGGAAGTTGAGAAAACCTAATCACAGTTATGTATATCGGAAGTACAACGGTGCCCTTCGGGCTCTAGATCCCGGCGCACCTTGTCACCTTTGCTCCCCTTTCTTGACGACACTGCGCCGAAAAGTTCAACGGGTCCTCGGGCACATTCGAATAAAACTGTATTTTTCAGTTTCTTCATTTATGTTCAGTTTCTTCTGAAACATAGATTCAAACGTTGACATTGTGTTATCTGTATTTTCCAGATGCAAATAAAACATTTTCAAAAATACATGCTTGTATTTGTTTTCAGCTTCCGTAAAATATGATTTCACTGTTTACATTTAAATTTGGAGGTTTACTAACATAGATAAATTAACAGAAAATTGAAATTGTTTCATAACAATGCCAAAAATAAAGAATTGACCACGCAATTGACATTTTCGGTATTTTTTGTGTAAAAAGGTGGTCTACGATATGCCCATTGAGCAACGTCATATTAACAGAATAGGTTTATAATTATAAATGTAATGGAAAATTAGCAAAATAAATTGTGGTCTACAACATTTTGAGATTTTTTTATTGATTATTATTCTATGTCTACTTGATAAAATCGTAAAAATAATTATTCTTTGTTCGGTCATAGGATACCGAAACGAGAACTTAAGAAAAGCCGCTATCGATACATGAATATGGCCACCTTGATTTCCATTTGACATCATTTTTGTATTTGTCCTATCGCAATGAGAAACTAGCATAAGTATTAAACTTTTACAAAATTA